CACCTGCTCGCCTAGTATATACTACACCTGCTCGCCTAGTATATACTACACCTGCCCGCCTAGTATATAACACACCTGCTCGCCCACCTCCTCGCGTATCGCGGCGCCGCCATCTTGAAAATCACGCGCGCGTCTCTAGAAGATGTCGTCGCGTTTGCCGACGTCGTACGGCGGCCGCTCGTCGCCGTCGTCGCCGCTCCTGCTCGTGCCGATGCGGCCGTCGGCGCCGTTTCCGTTTCCGTGCTGAGATCGCGCCAGCCGCGTCTTGAACGAGAGATCCATCGCCGGATTCGACGCGTCCGAATCGAAGAAAAAGTGAGCATCGCCGGCGTCCGGCGTGTCCGTGCGGCACGTGCTCATGCTGGCGTCCGACGCGCTCCGACCGAATCCGACCGTCCGGATCGACATCGCGTCGTCGTCGAGCGAGTAGCCGCGCGTGCATCGGCCGGGGATGTCGTCGGCTGCGGCGGTGCGGTAGCCGAAGTGAAGCAGACGACCGTCGGGAGAGTCCAGCGCGACGAGGTTGCCCTCTAGCGAGGATCCGGGAGCAGAGAAGATTCCCTCGTGCAGGTCGAGTCCTCGCAGACGCGTCTCGGAGAGGCGGTGCGGCGGCAAGTAGTCCTGCGTCGAGTCGACGCGCGCCTGCAGTCGACGCTGCAGCAGACTGACGTTCTCGCCGTCGCCACCAGAGCAGCCGACGACGAGACTCGAGCGACGCTTGTCGCGCGCCGTCGGCTCCGAGCTGCCGCCCGACGACAGCCGACGACGCAGGTGCTCGTCGCCGAGCGACGCCGAGCTGTCGTCGTCGTCGTCGTCGTCAGCCGACAGACGCGCCGTCTTGCGGCTGCGGCTGTGTTCCATCGGCTCGGCGTCGGCGCTCGGTCGTCGCGCCCGAACTGCGTTCCCGTCCCCGCCGCCGACGCAGCCATTACGGTGTTCGTCGTCGTCGTCGACGTTGAGTTGGAAGCCGAGCAGCCATCCGCTGTACTCCATGACGACGGCCCGCAGCTCGCTGATGGCCGTCATCGCGTCCTCGATGCCGTGCAGCTTGCGCGCCATCTTGCGCCGCAGCGCCGCCACCAACCTCACGTAGACGCTCCTGACCTTCTCGACGTCCTTGAGACCCTGCCGCTCTGCAAACGAAAAGTCGGGTTGCAAGGCAGGCACGTAGTGATAGTGGCAGTGGTTGCAGGGTGGGCACGTACTGACAGTAGCAGTGGTTGCAGGGTGGGCAACGGTACCTGATAGTGGGCATGGTTGCAGGGCAGGGCACGTACTGACAGTAGCAGTGGTTCAGGGCGGGGTACGTACTGATCATGTAGGCAAGTGGTTGGCAGGGCAGACACGTACTGATAGTAAGTGGTTGCAGGCGGGTAACGTAGTGATAGTGGCAGTGTTGCAGGGGCAGGCACGGTAGCTGATAGTGCACGTGGTTGCAGGGGCAGGCACGTACTGACAGTGGGCTAGTGGTTTGCGAGGCGGCGGGTAACGTAGTGATTAGTGGCAGTGTTTTTAGGGGCGGGCACGTAGTGTCAGTGGCAATGTTTTGCACTTGACTCAGTGCACGCCCTTTCAATTAAGCAATGATGTCTTTACATTAAGCAAATTGTCTTTACGATAAAAGTCTCAAGGTAATGATTAACGCTTTATCGCCTTCTAATTCCAAGTAAATGCCCTTCACCTACCTTCTGCAACACACAATCTCACCGGCATGTATACAGACGACGTGTTCGCAAAAAAGACTCCCACACGAGCAAGAGACTCTACACACTAAACACACTATATGTAGATATGGATATTTACTATAGGCTATAGACACACTATATAGAGATACTATTCTCACAATTCTGTAAGTCTGTGTCAGTGCGGCTCATAGGGTCTATGTCCCCCAGGGTACTGGCCGGAACGTGCCCTGGGTACAGCGGTCCGCGTATAGCCGTAAACGTAGCGCCTGGTACAGCTATTCTGATATGGTTAGGGTGAGGGTTTAGGGTAGGTAATAGGATTAGGGTTGTAGGGTTATGGAGTAAGGCGTAGGCGACTCCGCTAGGACCGTTAGTGGAGTTAGGCGAGTACGGTGCGGCATATTAGATAGTACGCAGCTAGAGCATATAAATCACGTTGAATTTATATGCTCTGGTACCCGGTAACGTTCCGGTATACGCGGACCGTACCAGCACGGTACGTTGGCCGACAGTAGTCCTGGGAAGACATAACCCTGCTCAGGCCAGTTTCGTGCGTTGGCGTGGCGGTCAGATTGTGTGTATTGCTGCTACGGGCATGTATCGGGTAAGGTCCGCCGAATACGCACATGCGATGCAGCTAACGCGCATTGAAAAAGTTTACATCAGATTTCGTCAAAGAATTTAATTGCGATAAATAACACCACATAATTAATCTGTCGGCTACAATATTTCAGCAACAGGACTAGCTGTCATCTTTGTCAGGTCGAACCAAACTGCTTGCCACCTGGATGGCGGCAAGTCCATTCAACAACCCTCATCAAAATAATCAAAATTGTCGCCAACGGAGAATTCATACCGAAAAAAACCCCACTCTCCACGTTCGACTCTCCGGGTTTAAATTCTTTGACGAAATGAGATAGAAACGTATTCCCAGGTTGGTGTCGCACGTGGTATTCGGCAGGTAGCAAATCATCATCCTCGTTACAGCAATACGGTACGAGTTCTTACTGCAGTGCTTACCTCATTCAACCAAACCCCAACCCTCATTCATATAACTAATTAAAATAAGTTCATTCGGTTGGTAGACTAATAGATCTAATTGGGTCAATTGTTACTCAACCGTGCAGATTGGAAACGTTCAGCTGTACGTTTTCAATTTTTACGGTTGAGTAACAATTAACCCAATTAGGCTAATTCATATAATCAAAACTGTCGCCAACGGAGAATTCATATTCATACCGTAAACGTAAAAATCATTCTCTGATTACGGTTACTGCTCTGCTTACCGGGCGTGAATAGCAGTATTGCTCTGAGAATGGCCATCTCTTCCACGGTCAACTGCAGTGCCTTCACCTTGGCGGCGACGTCGAGGAGGCATCTGAGAAGGTTCGGGTCGGGGCTCGTGTGTCGGTCGACGGTCGTACCGTCGGGCAGCGTGAAGCAGTCGTGCTCGAAGTTGAACGTGCGCGTCGCGCACAGCAGCCACATCTCGAAGACGCAGTTCTTCAACAGGATGAAGCCATCGTCGACGGGCAGCTCGCGAAACTGCGGGATTCCGTCGGAGAACTGTATCGTCAGACGCGTGCCCTTCTTGATGACGCCGTCGCGCAGCAGCGCCGACATGTTCTCCGTCAGCCGCTGCGTGTCGCGACGAGCGCTGTTGATGTGTCGCGTCGCCTGCGAAGGAAGACAGACCCGGGTGGTTTTTTACCGATTTTTTTTGAGAAGCGGTGGGGGAGGGGGAGGGGGGAGGCGGTGGTCGTCGTTACGTTGAGGGAGAGTTTCGACGTCGGGGCGCGGGGGGTGGTGGCCCAGGGCTCGTGAAATTTTTGGTTATTCAGCGCTGTTTGTGTGAATTTTGGGTCTTATATAGCGCAGGCATTGTTTCAATTAATTGCGCGATTAGCCTAAAATAAATAGACAAAATCTAAACCGTGTATTTTTTACGAAGGATTTTGAGGGGTATGATATAACAAAAGGGGTAATCTACCAGGACCATAACACCAGCAAAAATGTCCAGATTGGTATAATAAGCATATGATAGTGGTAGGCCTATGTAATATATCCGCGAAACAGTATATATAAGCAAATTCTTCACCGCGGCAAATCAATATAGTATAGCGTATAAGTGTATATATTCCGCTTTTAACATTGGCAACATTGCGTCGACGAAGACATCTAACTGCAGTATATAGCTCATGTTATATATATCTATTGGATTTAGATGATACGACGGGAAGAACTAGAAAAAATAAATATGTCAACGGAAGCGATTCTGTACGAAAATAAACCAAGAGCTCGGTGCCGGAAACCTCATAAGTGATATATCGAGTACGTAATACAGCATTTTATCTTAACATCGAGACATAGCATTCAAGGGAAATCAACGTATGGCAATATAAAAAAAAGTAATTAAGGGCGAACACACGCGACGCTGCAGCGACGTCGTAGTAGCCGGAGGTCGGACAACTGCGTCATCACAAAAAGTAATTAAGAGCGACCTCGTTTACACTAAAGGCGCAACGTAAAGTGAAAGTAGTCGGCCGTGGAAATGTATATAAGTATAGCGATTTGCATTTATGCGTGAACGTGTAATAAAAACTAACGAAAAGCGAAACCCATGCTCGGAGTAGTGCGACAACATTCGTAGCCGAACTTTCGCGTCCTATCGTGCTCGCGTAGTATGAGTAACCCAGTCTATCCTGCGGACGTCTAAATGAGGACAGGGAAGGACGCTAATGATCGACGCCCAGACGGGTCGCGAAGAGAGTATTCGGGCTTTATAAACCCGCTAAAAATGTAGATGGGCAGAGCGTTCCGGACCTGCTCTCCGACTGGTATGTTTATATTGTATCTTAAACTGTGCATTTTTATCTATGTTTAGAATAAACTATCGTTGTCGCTAACCAACTGATTGTTGCTGTGTATATTACGCTCGTCTACGCCGAATTCGACGCTACAAGTATATATATATATATACATCGCAAGTCGATAAAATCTTATAACCATATAATAGGTTTCCTTCAGCTCGTATTGCAGTATAACATTCTCTCTCGCATACCAGATGTTCTCTTTGCTTTTCGAGCAATCCTGGCAGTTTTTCCTCATTATACTCGTTGGTGTCGTTGTGTAGAGTAAGGAGGCTAACCAACAGCTGCGAAGTGTCGTCCGATGGGGTCGCATCCATTGGAATCTCCATTGTCGCATCCATCGGCTGATCCCCGTGCAATAAACAGGGATATTAACACTAATATAATACTAATCATTGGCTTCGTTCAGCTGACGTCATTATCAATGATACCGACACTACGTCACTAATTCGACTTGTACGTGTAACGACGTGTAATGTCGTGTACGTGTAAGAGCGAACGTGCACGAGAACCATAGAAAATAATATCACGCATTATATTACTTTATTATCATACTATCATTATTATCATCAGATATTCA